TCGGCACCTGTCCTGCCCAATGTTAGTGCACAACTACAGCTCTGAGTTCCTCTCCTGCTGGAGACCCCTCTCCTCCTGTTCTCTGCCCTGAGACTGAACAAAAGGAAGCACTCACCTGGCTGGTCTTGGCTCCAGAGCTCTGTGCAAGGAAGTGTTAATCAGGATGGGCCACAGTTATAGAGACAGGGTTCCTGGACCTGGTCTCCCCACAGAGGTGCCATTATCATGTCACCTGCAGTATGGGTGACACTGTCTGCATGGAGAGTCTGGGGTGTCTCCAATGAGGAGTAAATATTATCCCCTGTGCAAATCGCCCTCAGCCACTTCTGGTGATTAGTGACAACTCTTGGCAATTATCGAGGAGATCTCCATGAGCAGGTGAACAGAAGGCAGAGGAAGTTTTCTATGTTCCCTGTGGGAGAAGAAGTTTAGAATGAAAGTCCTAATTGGGGGTGTAAGGACACTCCAAAGTGCATAAGGGGCTCCCTGCACTGTGTTTCCTGTTGGGCATTTTCCTTCACGCTCTTTCACTTTTTCTGAACTGGTCCAAATTTTGTTCACACTGATCATCAGCATGTGATCTGGAGGCTGGTCTTTCCCACAAGTTTAAGTTCCATAACAGTCGCTATTTTCAGCCTCAGGTCTGTTTAAGCTGGAAAATCCCCCATTTGAAGGCAGTGTTTCCCCTTCAGAATCCTGGGGTGACCCTCAGGGGCACATGACTTTTCAAAGAGATTACAATTTGCTCTAAGTCACACCAGGAGCCCTGCTCTTTGAGTGTCTCCTTGGACTACCAGCCTGTCCTGTGTTCCCGACTGTGAGCGCTGGAAGAAGCATTCCTGGAGACACAGACAGGGATTAGGAAAAAGCACTGATTAGGAAATACAGAGAGATAAAAAATTAATTACTGCTTTAAAATTGATCAGTGGAATTATCAACTCATAATTGGAAATTTCAATTGATAATCGGATCTTCAAAACAGGCGCACTCACCGGGCAAATGGGCTGATGTCCTTCTTCTGAGATACCACAGAGCAGAAGGTGCACAATAAACCCTCCCCATTGGGCTCCTTCTCAGTGAATTGATGCACTAGAGGCAGCAGGCACATCCACATTTCAGGTACACGGGATGTTCAAGATGATCCAGCAGATAGGACACCTACTGGTTCTTTAGAGTGTCCAACCATGGCCCCTCTCTTTGGAAAAATGTGCATGATGATGGTTTTAATCTTTTCAGTGATTGTTCATCATGGGGATGTGTCCCTGCATGCTTAAACTCATAGAGATACTGTGGACCTACTGGGTGCCATCCCTAGGACTAGGTAATGAAGATACAAACAGAAACACTCCTGGCCCTGGTTCTGATATTTGAATGCTAGTTGGAACAGAAGACATGATTCATCTTAAATCTTTCAGTTGAGGTGGCAAAAGGGTCTATGTCTGGGCTGTCCAGTGTGGGAGCCCCAGTCACATGTGGCTGCTGAGCACCTGACATGGGCTCGTCTGAGCTGAGAGGTGCTGTGGGTGTAAAATGCACACCAGATTTCAAACATGGAATAAGACAGAGAGATTGCAAATTATTTTGTCAGAAATTTTCAGAATTGATTACAGCTTGAAATGACAATATTTAGGATATTAAAATAATTTAAACTGTTTCTTTTCACTTTCTTTAATGTGGCTACTAGAAAATTTATAATATAATTACACCTGTGGGTCATGTTCCATTTCTGTTGAATATTGATGGTGTAGACTCAGAAACCTTTCAACCTCCACAGCTGGACCTATCTGGTTGTGACAAAACACTCAGCAGAAACTTAGAGGTTGAATAAGTCAGTGGGAGAACACAATTCCCCATCTTATGGAGTCTGTCAAGCTGTGATGACTAAAGAGAAGGAAAACACTGTCACTTCTCCACCCTGTGTGTAAAAATCGAAGTCTGCCCACTGCTCCTGGGGCAGAGCATCCAATCCAGGGTCCCTGAGTGCACACACTGTGCTGGCATTGAGCTGGCCTCAGACAGCACTCGTTGAATTAACACATCACTCCATTCCTAGGACCTTTCTTGTCATATCTGATATTTGTAGAACTCTGAGACGTGAACAAGAAATTCCGTCAGATTGCACTCACTTCAAGTCCCCTGGGTTCTCTTGTGGCCTCCACTTGCTTCCACTGCAGCTCGGTTCTGGATGAGAATTCCCCACAAGAAGCCTATATTGGAGATGGTCCCTCCTCCCTCCTTATTGACATCCCACCTCTCCTCTTTACCAGATTATGATGTAATTCTGGCATATGAGATTTTTACTGAGAACCTTGACCACTTACCGCTTAAAAAGAACAATTTATCCTGAGAATGGTTTTATTTTTATTAGTATGGATGAAATACTGTTTAATCATTCTGAATTAGATATGGAACATTATGATTGTTGATGACTGTTGATTTGGAATGAGGACAGAAATTTTTAAAACCAAATATTGGGCATCAATTTTAACCCTTGAGAAATGAACACAGCTGGTTTCAAATATTTTTTGCTCACAAATGTAAAAGCCCCTCATATTTAGATCTGGAAATTAGTTAAACCTACTCATAAATATTTCCTACTTTCACACTCACTGGATCACAATCATTTCTTCAAAATGGTGTTTTCTCTGTGGTTGGAAATCATCTTAAAAAATTGGAAAATAAGCCCCAAAACCATTCCCCGCCATCCTCACTGTGACATGGGCTCTCACTCTCTCATACATGCCTTCCCTCTCACATACGTGTTCTAGAATGTTCTCTTACACACAGCTGTATACACACGTGCCTTCTCATGTGAGGGTGCAGACTTGTAGTGACTGCCCCAGCTGCACAAGCTCACAGGTTTTCAGTCTCACCCTGTCTCTCCAATTTTCTCACACAGAAACTCCACCTTAGACACACACACCCTCTCACCAGACCTGCCTCTGCCTGACATTTCTCTTAAAACCTAAATGCCTTCTTCCTTCAGACTGTCATCTCTCTCTTTGCAGATGTCTATCGACTCCTATTTTGTCCCCCAGTGCCACCTTCCCCACATTGTGGGACCTAGCACCCATTTCTCACCAGTTCATCCAACATGCCCTTTACTGTGTGAAGGGAAACCCACCCACACATCACATAAAGCCCTAATACAGGGGTCAGCCCTAAAGCCTGTAGCCCAGCCAGACACTCATTCTTGTAAACAAAGTTTTATTGGAATGCACATTGTTTGCATATTCCCTATGGCTGTTTCCCCCTCACAATAGTCACACTCAATAGGTGAGACAGAGACCATATGGCCTATGGGCTTATAATATTCATATCTTGCTCTCGAAGAAAAGTTTGCTGAACGCTGCCACTCATTGTACTTTGTGTGATTTCCAGTGCCCACCACTTACCCCATCTCAAAGTCCATAGTGATCTCAACTTCTAGGACAAGCACACATTCCCTATGGGTTTCCAAGAGGCTTTCTACAAGAAAATGTTCTCTTTGCTATCTTTTGTTTCTTATAGAGTATGTCTTTGTGTTTTTTTCTACGTTTAGGGCTAAATCTTTAACTTTATTTTTTTTATTTATTTATTTTTTTGTGAGGAGGATCAGCCCTGAGCTAACAACCATGCTAATCCTCCTCTTTTTGCTGAGGAAGACCAGCTCTGAGCTAACATCTATTGCCAATCCTCCTCCTTTTTTTCCCCCCAAAGCCCCAGTAGACAGTTGTATGTCATAGTTGCACATCCTTCTAGTTGCTGTATATGGGACGCGGCCTCAGCATGGCCAGATAAGTGGTGCGTCGGTGAGCGCCCGGGGTCCGAACCCGGGCCACCAGTAGTGGAGCGCGCACACTTAACCGCTAAGCCATGGGGCCGGCGTCTAACTTTATTTTTCATCACGTGATTTATTTCACTTTAGTTTGCATGTTGATAATTTCAAAGAGCACCGTTTAATGAAGAATCCCTTCTATATTTCCTTACAGGCTGTTCTGAATGACCATTTCAATTCTTATGACTCTAAGCCTAGACTTAACTAAGCATCATTAACTCTAATCATTATCAACGAAAATAATGATTAGTTGAGCATGTGAATAAAACAGAAATGTTAAAAATGGTACTGTATTGGGAAGGGGTAGATCTCATCACATCTCCATCACACTCAGTGCCCCCAGTAGTGACAGACTCTCCAGTCTCTAAAGGACTGCCCTGGGCTGACAGCAGCTGGCTCATGGGGAAACGCTGGAAAGGAACACTCTCTCTACCCCATGGCCTGCAGGAAATGTCAGAGTGATAAGAGGGAGTGGCTATAGTCCATACCCCTTGCTTTGAGGTGGGACAACTATGGTACCATTCACACTTCAGAGCCCCTGCAGGATAAGGCTGAGATTAGGCTTCAGCTGAAACCACCTGCTCGAATAAGCTGCTTCTGCTGCCCTACTCACCTTCCTCAGTGTTCTGTGAATATTTGTGTGCATTTGATATGAATGTGTGTTTTTCAGTCATTGAGTGGAACTAGTATATACACACCTATGTTTTTACTGTTTATATAGGTCTTGTTTACTTATCATTTATAAAATCAATATATCCATTGAGTCACAACCAAATTTTCATTTAATTGATAATTTCCATTACATGCTAAGTTGATCCTAGAGAGAATGAAAAGGAAAACACTTGGGAATTGATCTGAAAGTTCAGAACATGTTAATTGGAACAGAAATATAAACAAGTCCCAAAGGAAATGACCACGACAACATGAAATATTGGAAATGTAATTTTCCTTAATAAACATAATTAGTGGTTCTGATTCATGAACTGTTCTATATTTTTCTGCTACACTTTTTGACTATACATGTAACAAGCAGAAAACTTCATAGCTAAAGCAATGAGCGCACAGGAGTTTTCTATGAATGTTTCTCCAGTCAGAGGTTCATTTGCCTTGACCTGGACTCACTGGAGGAATAGCTATGCCTGGATTCATCACAGGAGAGATTCTCAGGAAGCCTGGATCATCCTTAATCCGTTTTGCAGGATCGAAAAAATGGACGCAGAGGCTCCATAGCAGAAATTTTAGTGAATGTAAAAATATGGGATCCATCACTCATGTGATAAAAAGAAATGATCCCAATATCCATATTCAGGAAAATCCCTACTCAATAAAACCTAGGGCTCACTGAGAGAGCAGTCAAAGGCACAGCGCTGGCTGAGTAGAGATCTCCATTTCTTGAACCCGCAGTCCAGAAGGCAAGTTCTGAAGACAGCACAATTACTCCTTGTTGATTAACAGATTCTCTGCAAACACCCACATCCCATTCTTTGCTTGTCCCTACATCCACCTCTCAGTAATGGCGACCAGACGTGAACCAAGGGGAGCCCAGGACACAAACTGCATAGATGAATCTCTCAGGATGGGTCTTCCAATACTGTCTGAAATACCCAAGGTGTATACTCCTCATGTCCTCAGAAATGATGACGTGGTTATTGGCTGTGTCCACGTCCAAGGTTACACCCACTGTGGGCAGAAACATAAGCAAATCATCAAGTACCTACACTATATACCACTCTTCACGTCTGCTGCCAAGGCCCAAATATCTCACTCACGTTCCCTTCTTTAACTCTACACTTCTTCCCTAATCAGAGTTTCCTGGGGAAACTTCCCTGGTGCCTTGATTAGATCAAATTTTATATGTAGAATGAATGATTATAACTGGAACTAGTCCTTCCTATTCATCACAGGTATTCTCTTTACATTAAGTTATTTGATCATTTGTTTAAAGATTTTTCGTCACTTTAGTTGGTAACATACATGACAAAAGAGACAATGCTGTTTGTTCTCAAATTATACAAAGTAACACAGATTCTGTCAAAATATAGACAGCAATCAAATATTTGAATGATGGAAAATATTTTACTTATAGAATAATAATATTGAAACACTAAAGCTTTTCTTTCCTTTTTTTCTTCTTTTGCAATTACCTTCCTCATTTACTGTTGTTGAATAGGCAGTTGCATTTGGGGCCTTTTCATTTCTCTCTATAGTTGTAGTAATATATAAAAAGAATGCTAGGAGTCATGAGATGAGATGAGTAACTCTGGATGGTCAGGATAGAGGAAGGGATTTCCGTGGACATGAGTAGGGATGTGCTGGGATCTTCACAGCAACTTAGATCTAGTTATTAGTGGGACAGTGTTCAGAGGGGCAGGTAAAATGGAGAAGAATGACTGTGTGTAGTGGCAACATCTCCAAGTAACCGTGATTGTGAGGATGGGTGCATTGAGCTGCTTGTCCTAACATGACCCTGTGTATGGAGCCAATGGGGCCTCAGAAATCAACTGACCAAACACCAATTGCTTTACTTGGCTCCCTTATCACACAGCCCTTTGGAGATGCTCAGACTTTCTAACCATCAGAGAGGAACTGTCAAGACTTGTCAAGTTTCTGGGACAGGTTTTACCACCCTTAATTCGAGTTTTCATGGGAGTAAGAAGTAAACTCACTTAGGAAACAAAGCAATTCATTTCTTTCACAACGACATTACAGACTGGAATACCTACCAAAGCACACTCACTGAACCACTTGCTAATGGACAGGGAGAGAACTTTTTGGGGTGATGGAAAAGTTCTGAAATTGGATTGTGGTGATGGTTGCACAACTCGACGAATTTACTAAGAATCACTGAATTGTACATTTATAATGGGTAAATTATTGTATGTAAATTATACCTTGATAAAACTGTAAAAAAAAAAAAGCAGTCTCAGCATATCACCCTCATAAAGTCCTAATCAGTTACAAACACCAAATGGAGAGATCTGGCAGATGCCAACCTGACCAGGTCATCAAGGTGAACATCACCACCGTTGGGATAGATAGACATAGTGTGTCCCCTGGTGTGAAGCACTGAGAAAAGCACAGTCTCATTCTTTTTTCTTTTTTTCTTAACTTTATTGAGATAATATAGACATGTAAGATATGTAAGTTTAAGTTGTACAACGTGTTGATTTGATACATGTACATATTGTGAAATGATTACCACAAAAGGTAAACACCTCCATCCCCTCACAAGTGTGTGTGTGTGTGTGTGCGTGTGCAATCTAGTAATGTTTAAGATCTACTCTCTTAACAACTTTCAAGTATATAGTACAGTATTGTTAATTGTAGTCACCAGGCTGTATATTATATCCCCACAATTTATTCATTTTGTACTTTGAAGTTAGTGCACTTTCACCAACATCTCCCCATTTTCCTGTACACCCCAACCTCTGGAAACCAGTATTCTACTCTCTGTTTTATGAGTCAGGCTTTTAAGATTCCACATATAAGTGAGATCATGCAGTATTTTTCTTTCTCTGTCTGACTTATTTCACTTAACATAATGCCCTCAAAGTCCATCCATGTTGTCGCAAAAGGAAGGACTCCCGTCTTTTTATGGCTGAATAATATTTCATTGTATATATACACGTTTTCTTTATCCATTCATCCATTGATGAATACTTATGTTGTTTTCATATCTTGGTTATTCTGCATAACACTGCAATGAACATGGCGATGCAGTTATCTCTTTGAAATAGTGATTTCAAGATCCTTCTGCCAAGAAAGTGTAAACTGAGTCTGGACATGAGGAAACATCAGAGAGACCCAGGGGATGGTCATTCTATTGAACCTGTTCTATAGGTTGAGGATATGAAAGGAAAGGAATGACAGAGGAACAGTTTGAATTGGAGCAGAAGGAAGAGGCATGACAACTAAATGCAACACGAGTTCCTGGTTGGGATCCTCAACCAGAAAAGAAAAGGAGATGTTTTGGATTAGTTTGAAAATTTGAACAACATCTATGGGTAGAGAGCAGGGTTGTATCTACATTGATGTTCTAATTCGAAGGGCAGTATGATTGTTCCGTAGGAGAGTGTCTCCGTTGTAGGGAAAACCACACTAGCGAGTTTAGGGTGGTGGGCACCATGTACATACATTACTCTCCAGTGGTTGAGAAAAAAGACTAGGGATAATGGGATAGAATATAGAGAAATTAGTTCATAAAGCAAATGTAGTAAAGTGTTAACCGTTGGGGTATTGGGGTAAGGGAGAAAATTAAGTATATTTGAAATTTTTTCAAATCGCTTATTTGAAAAATAAAAATAATTTACAGGCATGAATTCCTCGGTTTTTAAAATGAGGTTGCATATTGCTAAATATATCGTTATTTTTGATCACATTTTATTACCTTGTTTCAAACAAAGATAATTTTGTACACTTTAGTAGGAAAAACAGCAAGTAAAATTCAGACATTTTTCAATAAATAAACATGAAAACAATGCAACCATAGGATATCTACACTCCTAAAAGTTAACAAAAGTTCTTCATAATGGAGGCAAATTATACCAGAGGAAAACATATGTACAAAAAAAATTATAAGCAGCATAAATGGCAATAATGAAGATACATGCATAACCTATACTTTCTTTTCCTTTCTTATTTCCTATAAGAGACAATTAGCTCATAACAGCAAAAATAATAGCATTAATTGTGAGTAATAACATATATAGAATAAAAATTTATAAACAATAGCTTAAAGCATTATAAGATATACGGAATTATACTAATGTAAGATTCTTAAATATTCTGTGAAATGGTCAACAGTAGTTTGAACTAGAATATAATACTTTGGAAATCCGATTTATAATGGCTACAATAACCACTAAAAAGAAGTTATACCTCAACACAGTTAATATTAAAAATGGAATATTAAAAATACTAGGCTGTCTCAAAAGAAGGCAAAAGGAAAAGCAAAGAAAAAAACAGATATGACAAAGAGAAAAAAAGTTCCCAGTTTCTGTGTTTCAATGATGAAAACTAAACATCCAAGTAACAAATACAAAGATGGAAGCTTTACACCCTCATTAATATGATGTCATCCATACAATCAACCAAATTTACTGAGTGTCAACCATGTAAAGAAAATCCATGTACAAAAGAGAAGCAACCTGTTGGACAACATCGATTTTCTGTGTAACACTACAGCATATTAGAGAAATATGAGTGAAAACAGATACGAAATAATCTAGAAAAACACATTCTCCTTCTGCCAAGTTTCTCATCTTTACGAAATAAAGTCTCCATCCACTCTGCAGTAATGTTTATCTAGATCAATATTGGATTTTGCGCCAATGTATGGCAGGCATTAGCCATGCCCTCATTGAGATAAAATTTGTGGAAACACTTCAAACACTCCTGAAAAATGGAGAATATTTCATAGGGTGAACTGGTCAAGGGGGGAAATGGTTTCTTCAATACTTGTATGTATTTTTTATGAGATGGTAATTTGATGGATTGACTTCTAGAACTCCCAATGCAGCACCAGTATCAAATTTACATTATGACAAGTAACTTCATAGGATTTTATGTAAAAAGTTGATACTGTGTACAAACATCAAAAGGTACAAACTTTCAGTTGTAAAATAAATAAGTCATGAAGATGTAATGTACAACATATGGAGTATAGTTAATATTGAATTTTCAAATATGTATTGTAATATTTGATATTTGCAATATTTAAGTAAATCTTTTTTTTTTTTTATAATTTTATTTATTTATTTTTTCCCCAAAGCCCCGGTAGATAGTTGTATGTCATAGTTGCACATCCTTCTAGTTGCTGTATGTGGGACGCGACCTCAGCATGGCCGGAGAAGCGGTGCGTCGGTGCGCACCCGGGATCTGAACCCGGGCCGCCAGCAGCAGAGTGCGCGCACTTAACCGCTAAGCCACGGGGCCGGCCCTAAGTAAATCTTAAAAGACTTCATCACAAGAAAAAAATTTTATAACTATGTACGATGATGAATGTTAACTAGACTCATTGTGGTGATTGTTTTGCAATATATACAAATATCAAATCATTGTGTCATACATCTGAAACCAATATAATGTTACATGTCAATTACATCTCAATAAAAATATGGTACTCAGTAAATGGTTAATGAGTAGAGTAATTATGGTTATTATCAAAGCTACACTACAACACTGGTTTCTAACAATTTAAGAGCAGAACCTAGGAGCTCTAGGATCCCTAAGGATAAGCAGTAAGGGGCTAACAGTGGGGAAACATAAAGCCAAGATATGAGAGATCTGCATCAACCATAGACAAGTATCTAAAAAGTCAGTGATATAGAAAGCAAAAATGGAATTCAGCATGTAGAAGATGACAAAAGTGACCACCAGCATCAGAATGGTGTGGGTGGTTCTAGTTTCTGGGGGACATTTGTGGTAACCATTGGGAGTGTGAATATGCTGCACTCTCTGGTGGTGTCTGTGCAGGAAAAGCACCATGGACACACTGGACCAGCTCATGAGGCCAAACATAGCATCAGAGATGGACCACATGATGACAATGAATGCACTGGAACCTGAGGATGAACAGAACCACTTTCCTTGGGAGTCAGTATAATTTTCCATGTCCTGTGGACCAGTAAGTATCACAGGAATATAGATATTCATTAAGAAACTGGCCATCCAGGAGATGCAACAGGAAGAATCAAT